GAGCATTTTCACAAGGACCTGGAGCAGATAATCCTCTCCACACAGCAGATAACAGAGCTGAAGAGTGGCAGGCTTACCTAAAGCCACAGCTGGCAGGCCGGGATCCCTGGCTCCCAGCCCTGCACGTTCAGAGGAAAACCCAGGAATCATCAATTCTAGATTCCCCAAGCACTTTTCCCAAGGAAGAGGAAGAACCCTCCTGCCATTTATAAATTTCAAAATGAACTGATTTCTAGCTAAGAGAGTCACTGTTCTGAGTTCCTACTTAAAGTGTAGATGGGCGTTAAGGGGGGTTATGCACTTTGGATTAACCCCCTCGGTTCGATTCCAATTTTGTCCCAACTAGCTACCCAATCTTAGGTACAGTACTTAATTTATCTGTGTCTCAGAGAAAATACAAACTTACCAGTTGTCTGATGAGCCCTCAATAAATACTGGCTATTGTTGTTACAGGTTTAGCGTCCCTAATCTGAAAACCCAAATTCCAAAATTACCCAAAATCTGAAACTTTTTGAATGCTGACATGACACTCAAAAGAAATGCTTATTGGAGAATTTGGGATTTGGGATTTTCAGAGTAGGAATGCTCAGCTGGTCTAATACAAATATTCCAAAATCCAAAAAGATGCATCTGAAATCTGAAACCCTTGTGGTCCCAAGCATTTCGGATAAGAGACACTCAGCCTGTGGCGTAGTAATGAGGGCATGGGGAAGGGGTCCCTGCGAGGGGCATGACTACCTAGGAGAGTGCGGGAAGGACAGATAAAGGAGTGGCTTAGATGCCATTTAGTCAGGATGAGAGATTTGTATATACACTGAGATTTCTTAGCCTACAGGCTCTTGAGATGACGTCTGTCCAATGCATAGTGCAGACACCACCCAGAGCAGGCTGAGCCCGCCAGGAAGTGGTGGTGGAAGGACTCCATGACTAAGACGTGTTAGACAATTAGAATGGTGTTCAATAACTGATAGCTGCTGCTGTTGTTATTTAGAAAGAACTCAAGCCCTCCCCCTTCCCATTGCACCAAGTCCCATCCAATATTCTAGATATTTGTAGAATTATGTACATTCAGGGGAAACTGGAAGAGAGAGAGTTTTTATGCAGAGGCATAAAAAAAATTTTAGATGAAAAATGGTCATTAGCACATTATGTAAAACCGTCTGCTGCCAAAAAGCCATTGAAATTGATGACCCTATATAGTTCCTAAAAGGGAGGAGCCATTTTAAAATAAATTTATGCTGATAGGCCTTTGGGAGGCCCTTTCTCATTTCCATGCTAATGGGCTTTGACATAAGTATCCGAAACCTAAGAAGGAAGTGAAGTGATGTAATTGTCTGAGAAGAAGGTCTCACCCCAAATAAGATCTGGGACATTAGAATTAATGTCCTATTATCAAAAAGACAAAAAAAAAAAAAAACCCAGATGCTGGTGAGAATATGGAGAAAGGGTAATGCTTGCACACTGTTCATTGGGAATGCAAAATAGTATAGCCATTATGGAAAACAGTGTGGAGGTTCCTCAAAAAACTGAAAATAGAACTACCATGTGACCCAACAATCCCACTGCCAGGTATATATCAAAAAGAGGGGAATTCAGTATATTGAAAAGATACCTGCACTCCCATGTTTTTTGCAGCACTATTCACAATAGCCACAATATGGAATCAACCTAAGTATCCATCAATGGATGAATGGATACAGAAAATGTGGTACACATACACAATGGAATACTATTCAGCCATAAAAAAGAATGAAATTCTGTCAGTTATAGCAACGTGAATGGAACTGGAGGTAATTCTGTTAAGTGAAATAAACCAGGCACAGAAAGACAAATATTGCATGTTCTCACTCTTATTGGGAGCTAAAATCCTGATCTCACGAGGGTAAAGAATAGAGTTGTGGTGACCAGAGGCTGGGAAATAAAAGGGTGAAGGAGATTAAAAGAGGTTGGGTAATGAGTACAAAAACATGGTTAGATAAAAGGATTAAGTTCTAGTATTTGATAGTACAGTAGGGAAATTATAATGAACAATTTGTTATATATTTCAAAATAGCTAGAAGAAAATAATTGTATTGTTCCCAACACAAAGAAAACATAAATGGGCTGGGAGTGGCGGCTGGAGCCTGTAATCCCAGTACTTTGGGAGGCCAAGGTGGAAGGATCACTTGAGGCAGGAATTTGAGACTAGCCTGGGCAACATAGCAAGAAAAAGAAATTTGTAATTAAAAATTAGCCAACTGTGGTGGTGTGGGCCTGTAGTCCCAGCTACTAGGGAGGCTGAGGCAGGAGGATCACTTGAACCCAGGAGTTTGAGGCTGTGGTGAGCTATGGTCACACCACTGCACTCCAGCAAGACCCTGTCCCTAAGAAAAAAAAAAAAGAAAGAAAAGAAATGATAAATGCTTCAGGTGATTATTAATATCCCAATTATCCTGATTTGATTGTTACACATTGTATACATGTATCAAAATATCACATGTACCCCCCAAACATGTACAACTATTATATAGAAAATATAAAATACAATATACAAAAAACAATATAAATATAATAGAAAATAAAACTATAAAAATAAAAATAAGTTAAAATTAAAAAAAGAAAGTGTCTCAGGGAAAGCTTTTGTTGGTAGCATGTCACTAGATATCATTGGCTTCCCAAAGCCCAGCTATCAATGATAAAAATGCAATTTCAAAGTGTTTCTCTTTTTCAAATCAAGGGAAATAGGGCTTGGAAAGCACGAGGGATTTCGGAAATAGGTCATGCCTTTGTCACACATGCTGCTGTGGGAAGGCCAGGGCTCTACAGAAACCTTGCTGGAATTAAAATGTAGCTGAAAACTAATTTATTCCCTCGGTAGCTGTGTTTTGAGGGACAGACCATGAAAGGATAAGGGACCCTTAGAAGCCACAGGTGGCCTCATGGTGTGCAGAGCAAGGCAACCAGATTTGGAGCTGGATTCAGCAGGCCCAAGGAATTTTACCACTTGTAGAATTTCTTCTGATTTTCCCTTCATCTCCAGCCAGCAGTGCCGATTTGGAGTTGGGCTGAGTCACGTGGCCCATGCGTACAAAACAGATGTGCTGGGAAGAGCCTCAGCAGTGGACACCGTTAGGGCAGTTCGGGTTGTATTTGCCGTGAGCACTGGGATTCTGATAGCCTAGGAACGGAATAGTGTTCGAATAAGCAAATTTTCTTGGAAAGCTCATTATTTCTGAAGGGCAAGGGACCAAGCAGTCTTGTTCACAGTGGGGAGCAACTCTTCAAACCCCTGTCCACTGAGCCCTGGTCTCTTCGGGATCACCCCTTTTCCTGTAGTCCACACTTTCTCGGGTGTGAAGCCACCATCCTCATCTGCTTGACCCTGGAGAGCCAGCCCTGTGGTGGCTTCAGGGTGTTTGCTGAGATGTCTCCCTGCATAGATCTCTCAGCAAAGATGGGCGATGAGAGCCGCCAGTCCAGAACCAGTTTGATTTCCTCTCTTTATCCACTTGCCCAACACACACTGATTGGGAACTCTGCCTTGTGATGGGCATGTTCTAGACAGGATGAATAAAGGTTGTTTGTGGACCTGAAAACTCCAGAGAGACAAATTTGAGAACCTGCAAAGGCACAAGGCAGAAGTGAGCAGGGCATGGTCAGATCATGTGAATCCCAAGTGGCTGGAGTGTGAGATGGCTAAGGCCTTAGCGAGGACTGGCCCCCGGGCTGCGGCTCCATGTAGAATCTGCACACTGTGTTATGTAGCAGCTGTAGCAGCAGCAACGGGGACAACGGGCACTTTAAGCAGTACGGTGGTGCGCCATGAGACATTCTGGGAGGGACCTGAAGATGGTCTTGCTGCTGCCCCTGCATTCGGCCTGCTTCAAGGGCCTGATGGAAGAGGAGGGTGGGGAGGGAGTCAGGGCTCCAGGCCAGGTAAGTCCCACCCTGCAACCTCCTTACCTCTCCCCCCATATTTGTAACACAGAATAACACTTGCCTTACCTACCCGGGTTGTTTTGAGGAGCCAGTGAGATAGAAGTGAAACAGCTTTGAAGACATTGAAACACAGAGGAAGACATTTCTAAAAACACTAAGACGTTTAGACAGTGGGGCCAACAATACTATTATTTTTACTATGGTATCATTTCCCTCATTCCTACATCCATTCCCCCGTGAAATTATTCCTTTAGAGAAAAGGGAATGGGAGGAAGTGGCTGGGCTGGGACAGCAGGACAGAAACACCTGCTTCAGCGGTGCAGAGCAGCAGGGCTTTGCCCTCCCGGAAGGGGACCCCGGGAGCAGGCCTGGCGGGCTCCGGAAGCAGAGCGGCCTCCCTGCGGCTCCGTCTAGTCTGAGAACAGATAGATCTGCCCACAAACCACCGTCAGCTACCCAGAGGAGCCCCAGGAAGTGGCCTGAATGCCAGGCTCAGGGGTTCCCCACAGAGGCAGGACACCAGCCCCCCACCCTCCCTCTGTGAATGGGAGTGGTTTCCAGGTGACTCATGTGAGTGAAATGCAAAACATGAAATACAGCCTATTGGCGTTATCCGTATTGTGTGCTGACTTATCTCAGGATCAGAGCCGGAAATAAGAAAAGGCTTGGCTTTCCTTCTCTCAGTACCAGAGCATTTCTGGTTTCTGCCCTTTTCTTCTCTGCCAGAACAATTGTTCTTGAGGCTTGACTTAAGGAGTATGTGACATCTCCACCCATATTCAGGCTGCCACTATTGCCGGAGAGGCAGAATAGAGTCGCTGATGAGCCAGCTTTTGAGGCCCACGAGTATTTTTGTCCAAGCTCTGCCCAACACCAGCTCTATGATCTTGAGCAAGTCTCTTAACCTTTAGGGTTCCAGATCCTCTCTCTAAACCATGGAGGAAATTATGGCACCATGAGAGAGCTCTGCAATGCCAAACTCTTGAGCCTGCTCGGTGGTTGAGGAGGCAGTGCTGGGGGCCAAGCACCAGGCACTTTTCTCAGTGGGCTCTCAGTGGTCTCCTCTGACCTCTTCCCCACAGGGCTCTACATTCTGGTTGGAGCCGGGGCCCTGATGATGGCCGTGGGGTTCTTCGGGTGCTGCGGAGCCATGCGGGAGTCGCAATGTGTGCTGGGATCAGTAAGTGGGGCATCGGGTACACGGTGGGGGGTGGGGAGGGGGCGGGAGTTGGACATCTGGCCCCAGCCCTGGCTCCTCCCTGGAGTCTTGGGAGCCCTTGGCCCACGCTCCCTGAATCTTGGTTTCTCCATCTCTTGCATAAGAACAATATTATCTTTGTCCCTGTCTCATATGAAAAGTGTGAAAAAAATGAGGTATAAAGATATTTTTGAGAGGAAAAGTCCTTAGTCATTGTAAGGGGTGATTATGATTGTTCTTTTAAAATGATATTTCAGTGGGTGAGGCGGCTAAAAGATTCCTATAGCCAGGGAAGTGCTGTTATCTACAAGCAAAGCATTTCTGTTTGAGACAAATAACTTAACCTAATATCCCTCTTCTGTCTTTTTTTGACAAGCAACATCTGCTTTTAAAAAAACAAATAATTTTAATTAACTGCCATACATACAATGCCAGTGTAGCCTGGGAGAAACAAGGCAATGGGAGAAGAGGAGCAGAAGGAAAGAAAGTGTTTGTATCTCTCCGTGGGGAGTCAGAAACAGCAATTTTATTAGGCAACCTCTCATTTCTCTTTACTCATTGTAATCTTTGGATTTTTTAACTCTGGTCACTGCTTCTGATCCCTCACTATGTGAAGTTTCTCGCTTGTTTCTTTAGCCAGCCATTCTTTCTTTCTTTCCCCTGTCACTGAGCGTCTCTGGCTTGTGTATCACTGACCCTAGTTTGATCAGAGCAAGCACAGCAGAGTGGAACAGAAATCTGTCCAGATGGACACCCCCACTCCACTCTCACCTCCTCAGAGAAGCTTTCCAGACCACGAAGTCTCACATCACACCCTTCCCCAAGCCCAGGCCCCGTCAGTGACTCTATCTCCTGATCTTCTTTTATATCTTTATAGACCGTTTTTTTCATGAAGTTTTGTTTGTTTGTTTGTTTTTAGAGACAGGGTCTGACTCTGTTGCCCAGGCTAGAGTACAATGGCATCATCACAGCTCACTGCAGCCTTGAACTCTCCACCTCAAGAGATCCTCCCACCTCAGCCATCCAAGTAGCTGGGACTATAGGCATGCACCACCATGCCTGGCTAATTTGTTTATTTCTATAGAGATGGAGGTCTCACGATGTCACCCAGCTTGGTCTCAAACTCCTGACCTCAAGCAATCCTCCCAGTTCAGCCTCCCAAAGTTCTGGGATTACAGGCCTGAGCCACTGTGCCTGGCTTCATCAAGCATTTATTGAGCACATAGGTGCCCGACACTATTCCAGGTGGTGGGAGTTCTATATGACTGTCTGAAATTATCTTACTCACCTTTTTATTCCTTTACTCATTTATCATATCTTCCTCTATCCAATATAAGATCCATGACAGCAGAGACATTGGGATCTTATCTTGCTCATCACTGTATACCCAGCACCAAAGACAGTACCTAGGGTAGGATAGATGCTCAATAAACAATTGCTGAGTGAAGAAACAAACAAACTACATGATACAACCATTACATAAAAGAACTACATGATACAAACTACATGATACAACCATTACATAAATGATTGTATCACCATGTAGTCATACAACCATTACATAAAAGAAACTAAGGGACAAATGCTTCCTGCTGGATCAGTTCAAACTAATAACCTTGCCTAATGCTTTTCCAGTGGAACTAGAATCAAAGGGGCTAAATACATTGAAAAGGTATTAAATTACTGAAATTAGTATTTTCTCTCCTCTACAGTTTTTCACCTGCCTACTGGTGATATTTGCTGCTGAAGTAACCACTGGAGTATTTGCTTTTATAGGCAAGGGTGTAGTAAGTAAAAATTACTTACAATGTATTTTTTATAAAGTGTTCTCTTTATGGCAAACAATCTGAGAATATGAATACCCACAATGTTATTAAGAAACTAAACAGCCCCCAACATTATAGTTTAGGCAGAACTTTTTTTAACCTAGATATGTACAGAACTGAGCATATGTGTGTATAAATGTGTATGCTTATACAAGCACACAATTTTTCTGAAGAGATAGTTTATAGTTTTCATTAGATTTATAAAGTGGTCTATGATTTTTTTAAAAAAGAGCTAAGATTAACCGCAGTTTAAAATGGGGTAGGGGTAGATTACAGACTCTGACCTGCTGTAGGCTGGTGAAGCCAGTTTAGAGTCGCTGCCCAACTCTAGGTGTCCAGAATAGGTTATCAGGAGGAGCCACAGAGGAAGTGATCTTCTTAGAAGGATAAAACCTACCTGTGGGATAGACAGGAATGGAACGGAAAAGAAGGAAAAAATGGAACCGTAAGTTTCCTATATTTCAGATTAGTTCATATGCCATCAATGTTGTGTTTATGAACTTATTTTAGACTAAAATAAATGGTAAACAGGTAGAATAAGTGAATATCACCTTTGGAATTTTTTTAAAAAATAGCTGGATGTATTTATAGGTTAGTTTAAATTCAGCTACATATGGAAGTGGAATTGTATCTGAGGATTGTTTGAGATTTCTATGGATTTGGGGTCACGTATCTTTATACTAGAAAAAGCATTCTCTAAGCTTTATATTATATTTGAATGTAGAAAGTTTTCCTTAGTGATGAATACCTTTTAAACCGTGTTATAAAAAGACTTGAGTCCTTTTAACCAGTGGGGCAGCAAGATTGTGGAGGTCCTAGCCCTGGCTGTGCAGCAGAGCCACCTGCGTGGAGCTCAGGAATCTGGGGCCAGTTGCTGCTGCAGCCCAGTCAGGTTTGGGAACCTCCACTCCTAAGAAATCTTTCTAGTCCTTCAAGACTATTCTTGGTTAGTCTATCCTCCCATCCTCAAAAGCATCTTAGGAACTCTAGAATCTGTAATCCATTCCATATATGTAGAATGATCTTAAAATACAGTCAGAGATATGGAAAGGCAGCATTTTTGAAGGGTGTGGAAGAGGGGGTTTTCCTTGATGAAAGGAGAGTGTTTGAAATGTCCCACTCACTGTTCCCTCAATTGTCCTGGCATTGTTTCAGGCTATACGACATGTCCAGACCATGTACGAAGAGGCTTATAATGATTATCTGAAAGACAAAGAGAAGGGAAATGGAACTCTCATTACCTTCCACTCGACAGTAAGTAACTTTACTTCTCCCTTGAAATCGCATCTTCTGAAGATTATGTGTAACCAATTCTCTCTAATCACCTGGATTAAAAATTAGAAATTCAGTAACGCCAAGGGGCAGCATCCTATTTTAGCCCTTAGAGAACCACAATTTGCATTACGTGCAGAACCCTAGAAGACAAAGAGGCCCACCACACGAAGTTCACAAGAGGAAGTCAAGATATGTTCCTGAAAGACACAAAAGAGCGTGAATGAGAACACAGAGAAAGCAGCCCAGATAAATATCAGGCTCTTTCAAAGGGCAGCATTGTGGTATAACAGACACAAGCGTGATCTTTAAGTCAGAAATGCCAATTTCTAGCTGCAGTTCCACCACTTAACAGCTGTGTGACCTTGAGCAAGGTACTTGGCCTCCCCGAGACCCACTCAGCCCCCTCATTTATTATATAAAATGAAGAGATAGCTGCATTCCCTTCTGGAACCTTCTGTGGCACTGTGCTGTCAGTGGCATGCTCAGAGCAACATACAGTTAATCAAGAAAGGCTTTTCATAGAAGAGACAGGCCAGGCCAGAGTCATTCTGATCTTTCCAACGCTGTGATGTGGAGAAGTAGCTACACACTCCCGGGCCAAGTGTTTTCAGGCACCTGGTTCTTGTCTGTGACAAGACTCTTGGAAAGTGTCCCCTGTTTGTGTGGTTTGGCCTCTGCTGCCCCAAGGACATCCAGCAGCTCACAGGTTCCTTTGTGTAAGTGGCCAGCCCTAAAGCAGGACACCTGTTTGCTGGCCAGTCCTCAAGCCTGGCCTGTCAGCCCTGGAGTTCAATGTAGCCACTTCTCTGCTTCCCACACTGTCCCCAGTTAATGAGCCCTTGCTGAAGCTCATAAAATTTTAGCTCCACTGCAAGTTAAATAACTCCCGGTCTGAAAGAAGGAACCCAAAAGCCCCAACTCCTGTCTAAATGGCAGCAATTTGCACAGACACCGTCAATTAGCTTCTTGCCTTGTTTGGGTTGCCTTGAGTCACTTCCCATCATAAAACTCAGACGGCTTTAGAGAAGTCGTTTTCCTGTTTTGCTAGCATGATCATGTGATTCTTCATTCTCGTTCCAGAAATGGCAGTCAGGGTGGCAGTGAGTGGGCCTTGTCGCTGCTTTGCGGCCTGGGCACCCCAGTCCTTCTTAGCGGGATGCCCAGGCTTGCAGCTGCTGCTTCTCCCTCCCGTGTCCTAAAGTCTCTTCTCTGACTCTCTAGTTTCAGTGCTGTGGAAAAGAAAGCTCCAAACAGGTCCAACCCACATGCCCAAAGGAGCTTCTAGGACACAAGGTAAGCTTCTACCAAGGTTCCTACCTTACCTGTAGTGTGAGGTGGGTTTTGCCTTCGGGGTGGAGGCAGGAGGCTCAGGTCCTACCTCTGAGGGGTTCTAGGAGGACCTCTCCCAATGGCCTCTGTGCCTCAGCTTTATTCCATGTAAAATAGGTGAGAAGCAATGCTGAGTCCCACTCCCTTGGTACCCAGGGATGACGGTGTGCTGACCTGGCAGTAATGCTGCTACATGCTTATGGCATTAACTAGGCTCACCAGGGCCGGAGGTGTGGCCCTGAGGAGGTTGCCCCACACCTCTCCATGCAAGTCACAGCACTGATGTCTCCTTTATGCAGTGCCGCGCGTCAGGCACTATGCCGGTTTCTAGGAACTCTAAAATGAGAAAGGCCCGGTCCCTGCCCTCAGCGGCCTTGCAGTCTAACCAGGGCAATAGCGATGTGTGAGAAGCCTGGACAGGGCACCCCGGAAACACAGTAGAGTGAGGAAAGCTTCATAGAGGAGGAGATCCTCGAGCTGAGTTTTGGCAGAGGAAGGGCATCCCAGGCCCAGAAAGCAGCAGGAGCAGAGGCTTGGTGGTGTGACACTCCTCAGCTGCAGGGGAACAGGGCGCCCCGAGGGGATGGTGAGCAACGCTGTGGGGGAGGCAGGCAAAGGCCTGATTTCACACCTGGAGGTCTGAGGAAGCCATTGTGTTCAGTGGGAAGGAACGTAATCAGTTTTGCATTGTAGGAAGAATGCTCGGGCTGCTGGGTGAAGGGTAGACTGGAAGGCTGGAGATTAATGAAGGGAGACCACCTTGTGGTCACCCTGGTAAGAGAGTGGCCACAGCAAGTCACAAACAGTAGGGATGGAGAGAAAGCAACAGATTCAAGAGATGCTCAGGAGGTAAAATCAACAGGACCGGGTGACTTACTGGGTGTAAGTGGTGAGTAAAAGGAAGGAGGCTAAGATGTCCAGATTCTGCTTGGGTGACTGGATGAGGAGAGGCTCCACTCGCCAGGAGAGGTGAATACAGGGAAAGGAGGCAGATGACAATTTCCATTTTGGTCAAGTTTGTACTCCAGGTGCCTGCGGGACTTACGAGGAGACTGCGATGAAGACACAGGTGTGGGCCTCTTAGCATGTTAGGGGTGGCTGAAGCCATAGGAGTGAGTGAGAAAACCCAGGGAGAGGGAGTAGAATGAGGAGCATGGGCACTGTCACGTAAGGGATAGGCTGAGGAGGAGGAGTGAGAAGGGGAGGCTGTGAAGGAGGAGTCAGAGGGTCAGGCAGGTCCAAAGACGGAGGCGTCCAGGAAGCCGAGGGAAGAGATGGTTTGTCCACACAGTAAATGCTGGGAAGAGGGCAGGCAAATGAAGACTGGAAATCATTTGTTGGATTTGTTGCTTAGAAGATTACTGGTGACTTTTGTCGCACAGCTCCGGTGAAATAACTGGGGAAAGCACAAATACAATGCGTGGGAATGAAAGAGGAAACTGTGGGATTGTGGAGACAAGGATGTAGTTGCTTTGAGGCCCTCAGCTGTGAAGAGATGGGTGAGATTTTAGCTCCAGCTGTGTCCTGAATCGTCCATTGAACACTTATTGGGTCCTCTGCCCGGATGAAACGAGCAAGACACGGTACCGCCCTCAAAGTGCTCACGTTGGCTGGCAGACGTGCAGGGGAGCCGCTAACGCCACACGGCACAGTCAGGGCAGCCCCACAGGGAGCACCGTAGACTCACCTGGGGCACAGGATTCCATTATTCACGGGAGGCCGCCCAGGTGTAATTCTTAGGATGAATTTTGAAGGATGAATAAGAATTCAGTAAGCAAACAAAAGAGAGTGGGATGTTCCAGGCAGAGGGAATAGGGCAGAAGCATGCAGGCAAGAGAAGGTAGTTGTTTCCAGGTAAGTGCCAGTGGCCGGAGCCCCAGGCACCTGTGGGAGATGAGCGAGTACTGCCACGAGGAGGGAGCATTCTTACAGGGCCTTGGATACTCTTGTGAAACCAAAAGTCTAGCCTCTGTGCTGCTGGCCTCGGAAGCCCTTGAAGGTAGCATCTGGCATGGGATTTGCATTCCGCTGACTTTGCTGTAGTGACAGTGTTGGGGACTGATGGAAGATGAATGACGAGGAGTGGAGGACACTGGTGTGGGAAGGCTGCCACCCTCATCGTCAGCCAAGAGTCGTTAACTGGTACGAGCCAGGCTGAGCAGCAGGAAGTGACAGGAGGAGGCCATTTAGAAAGTAAAATCTACAGGACCAGTGGACAGTTAGCGATCAGAGAAGAGGGAAGAATCACTGCCAGGTTTCTGACCCCACCATCTACATAGATGACGGTGTCATTTTATTGAGGTAAGGAATGGAGGAGAAGGAGCCAATTATGGGGAAAAAATGAGTTTAGTGCTTAACGTGGTGATTTTGAGGAGCCAGTGGAACTTCCAAGTGGAAATATCCAGTAGGCAGTTGGAAAGTCTGGTTTGTGGCTCAGGAGGGGGGGGTTGAGTGTCAGTACTTTATGGGAATCTTAAAGCTATAGATTTGGATTTGACCCATTAGATTTGGAAGAAACGAAGGATGAGGATAGAACCCTGGGGAACAGCAACATTTAAGGGTGGGCAGAAGAAGAGTTGCCAAAGAAGGAAACTGGAAAGGGCAACCAGGCCAGGTGAGGAGGAGGGAACGGTTGCCAGGGCCAGGGCTGCCACTGAGCTTGGTTCAGTATTGACCGACTACCTACCTTATGTGGGGCTCGGTAGACACACAGGTGAATGAGAAAAAGTCCCTGCCCACAAGGAACTTGTAGTCTAACAAGAGAGGTGGACACAGAAATAGATACAGTGGGGTAATAGAAGAAGGCACAGAGGAGAGGCCTGAGGCTGGGACCCAGAGGAAGGCTGACTAGAGGTAATGATGTCTCAGCTAAATCTTTAAAAATGAGAAGGAATATGCCAGCACTGGGCGTGGAAGGGGGAAGCCTGCCTGCACAGGGAACAGTGCAAGCAGCGGCAGAGAGGCAGAAATGTGACAGTTTGTGTGGGGAGCTGAAAGCCCAAGAAGGTCCACCAAGATAACTGTTGAAAAGCTGATAGAATTTGTCTTTAAGGAAGTAACTGGTGACTTGGTGTGAGGGGCCAAGTAGGGACAGAGCCCAGGCTGCAGGAAGTGAGACATGAAGAGAGATGGCACCCTTTCAAGTAGTTTGACTTTGAACCAACGACACACAAAAAAAAGAGTTCATAAAAGATGACATCCACAATATCATTAAACACATAAAAAATGTGGGCACTTAAAAGTATTCTTAAAAATTAAATAGCTCATTAAAATGAAAAGATGCTGTTGTTTAACCGATGAAATTGGCCAAGTTTTTTTCCCTTAATAATAATATAGTTTTGGCAAGAATGCTGTAAAGTGAGCTTTTTCAGAGAAATTGACACAATAGCTTTAGAGGCCAGTATGACTATGTAAGACTGGAGGGTTAAGTATGTTCATTTTTTTTTTTTTTTTGAGACAGAGTCTCACTTTTTTGCCCAGGCTAGAGTGAGTGCCGTGGTGTCAGCTTAGCTCACAGCAACCTCAAACTCCTGGGCTCAAGCAATCCTCCTGCCTCAGCCTCCCAAGTAGCTGGGACTACAGGCATGCGCCACCATGCCCAGCAATTTGTTTCTATATATTTTTAGTAGGCCAATTAATTTCTTTCTATTTATAGTAGAGACGGTGTCTCGCTCTTGCTCAGGCTGGTTTCGAACTCCTGACCTTGAGCGATCTGCCCGCCTTGGCCTCCCAGAGTGCTAGGATTACAGGCGTGAGCCACCACGCCCGGCTTGTTCATGCCTTTCAATTTAGAAATTCCACTTCTTGGAGTTTATTCTAAGGAAAAGGAATCAGAAAGGTAGGCAGAGATTTTTGTGCAACTGTAATCATTGCAGTATTATTCATTAGAATAAAACGTTGGATAGATCCTTAATATGTGACAGTAGAGGATTGTTTAATTAAATTATGGTACATTCCTATGATGAAATGTTTTACAGCGATCAAGAATCATGGTTTCAAAGAATTTTTAGTGAAATAAGACATTTTTGAAGTTGTAATATTAAGTTAAAAAGCACAGTTCAAGATAAAGAATGAACTAAGTATGTGGGTATGTTTGTGTGTGCAAGAATCGCCAACAATGTTGGTTGTTCTCTCAAGTGGTAGGAGTACAGATGTTTCTCTTTTTTACACATCTCTCTTCCAAATTTCTACAATAAGCACATATTCCTTTGGGGACTGAGTAAAGCCAATCCACGCTCTGTTCGTTTGTTTTTCACAAAGAGAAGCTGGCAATGAAGGGAAGGGCCTGTGGGCAGAGCTAGAGGAGGACGGTGTTGTGAGGGCTCATCTGTTTAGATCAAAGAACTCCAGCAGGTGCTGTATGATGAGTGAGAATGTCAGCAGAGAAGGAGAGGCTGAACGTAGAGGAAGGACAGAAGGTAACTGGTGGCACGGGCCTCCCAAGAAGCAGAGAGGGCATAAGCCCCAGAGCAGGATGAGGATTGACTTGCAACAGACATGGGCACCTCTTTGGTTCTGATGAGAGAAAAAGGAGTTAAGGGTGGTGCTGCTTGTTCCCTGCATGTGTCCGCTGCCGGCGACAGAGCCTGGCACTGAAGGGAGGGGCATCAAAGTGTGTAGGAGAAGAAGAGGAAAGTTGGGAGAATTGCTACAGATTGACTCCTGCTTTCTCCAGGAAGTAAAGGGGCCACTGTCTAGAGCAGTGGTTTTCAAACTTTTACCAGAACGCACTATAGTTATTTCCTCTGGGTCTGTGTCCCTCTCTAAACTGTGAGCTCCCTGAGAGCAGAAGAAACTATGTCCCATTATCTCTGTATCCACCACCGCCTTCCAGCGATTGGTGCCAGGTAGATGCTCAAGAAATGTTTGTTGAATACATGAATGATAAATGAATGAAGTATGATCGAGAAAGAGGAGAGTGGTGAGGGTTTCATGTAGCTTATGTGGGTTTCAGAGGGAGCTGACTAGTGATCAGTGAAAGGATCTGAGCAGCCGGAGGATGCGTTGGATTGAGAGCATCCCTCTACTTAAGAGGACTCTGAATAGCTATTGAAGCTCGAGAAACTAATAATGGTTACAGGTGATCTATTCTGCTCCCTGTCCCATTTTCCTCTACCCATGAAAGTCCTTTGAACCCACTGTGCACGGGTCTCTAATGGGCACAAATAAAAGGATAGGGACCCACCTAGCCCAGCCAAGCCCAGTCACCAGAGAAAAGAATGGTCCTCTAGCTCCTAAGACTTGGTTTCCTTAAGCACTGGCTTTCCTTTATTTAATTTGAACCTGTACAGGCATTTTAGTTTCTTGATAGGTAATGACTACCTTGCATAGTAATTGGATCAAGTACATAGAAAGTCTTTTAAACTGTAAATGACAATACAAAAACAAGAGGTTATTATTTTAGGGATATTTTAATTATTTTTCTGCACTGTATGTAGAAACAGGCCCCAAATGCTTTAATGCCTCAGATACCAGAGAAATAGCTTCCTCCAGCCAGATTTCAGGGCCCTGAAGCAGCTATTGACCTAAACAGGAAAATCCCACCAAAGGGAGAGGGTTGCATTCTTTTTCCCCAAACTACATTTTTGCTTTAAGGTTGTCAGGATGATGTTATCCAAGAGTAATGGCTTAAATATGAATAGAAGCGGACATGGATGAAATCTCACAGGATGATCTGTAGTGATGGAAAAGAATGGATGAGGGTAATGATTCACACATACAATCAGATTTTATTCTTGACTTTCTTTTTCCCAAAACAGAATTGCATTGATGAAATTGACGCCATAATCAGTGTTAAGCTCCAGCTCATTGGAATTGTTGGTATTGGAATTGCCGGCCTCACGGTGAGAAAGTTCCAGAACTTACATTTTTTGCCCCCTAAGAATCCTTGAACTGTTGCATCTTATTTCTGTTCAAGTGTGATAGAGCAGTATCTTAGGAGAGAATTCTCATAAAGAACAAAGATCTTTGTTCATGTACATCTTCTGAAAATAAAGCTAATTAAATTTTAATACATCAATACTTAGACCTCTAAAATATAGTACAAATTTCAGCTTTTACCTAATTATGACTTTGAGTTTATCATTGTGGTAACTTCCCATTTTAAGGCCACCAATCTTAACCTCTGTAAGTGATTTTCAATTCTGGGGCTCTTTCTACTGTTGCAAATTCAAAATAACATAATGTCAGGTTAATCTATCTCACCTAGGATTTGAAGAGTCAGCATAGCATAGTGATTAACAGAGTGAGCTCTGGCATCAGTCTAGATTCAAATCTGGCTCCACTACTTACAAGCCCTGGGATAATAAGAAACTTTCTTAATTTCTCTATGCCTCAGTTTCCTCATCTGTAAAATGGGGAATTTAATATACTAACCTCATAAGATGGTTGTGAAGATGAAATGGGATACTGCATATTACACATTATGAATTAATACATAAAAAGTGTCTGGAACATATAGCACTCAATAAATGCCAGCCCTTTGTATAATGTGAATGTTCCCAAACCCAGAATCCAGGTAGAGGGAATAGCATATATGAGAAGGTGTGAAGCTCGGTACTTCTAAGATGCAGAAGAAGAATGTGCAGGAAGAATTGATAGCAGCAGATGGGTATAGTAGGATTAGCAAGAGATGGAAATGGAGAGGGCATTGGGTCCCCATCATTGAGGTCTTTGTGTGCCCTTTTGAGAGGCTGGGCTTCGTCCTTACAGAGAGAGGGGGCCCCCGAGGGTCAGAAGGACCTGTGGTGAAGGATAGAGGAAAGGTTAGAGGGAGGCAAGATTGGAGTCAGGGAGGCCAGTTCAGAGGTGATTTCCATTATCCAGGGCATGGGCTGTAATAGCTAGTGATAAGGGAGCACTCTCTTCAGCCCTCTACTAGATTAATTCATGGCCTGAAGGCAGGGGCTTTGGGAATTGTGAGGAAATCAGTGAATTGGCAGTTCTCAGGGGACATACAAGCACCTTTCCCCTTTCCTGTATTTAGACGACAGAGAAGTGCGACAGTGGCTGGAAATACTATGCTAAGGACCTCCAAATCCAGGGACATCCCTCAGGCCCTTCCCACCTGCTCTGGGGTTAGCCTGGTTGCAGTTCTGCAGCTCCCCCAAAGACAACCCTGAGGCAGGAGGTTTGAAAACGTTCTGCATAATGGAAGCATCAAATAGACCCTCCTAATAATCCTACAGTCCTAACAAACGAGCCTCCTGGGAGCAGTCTCCCCTGACTCATACCATCAGCAGGCTGGGACAGAAGAAGTCTCTTTCCAAGGAGCCCCTTCAGAGCACAGGAGGGTGGGGCAGGGCTGCGTCCAGCCTTACAACCATGGCAAAGGGAAAGTGCCTCATGGGGTGTCTCAAATCAGCAACCCCAGAGTTTCCTTTAATTCTTTTTTGTTTTTATTCTTTTCTTTATAAGGTAAGAGTTGCACAGTGTGATCAGTTAATTAAATGTCCATCAGATGTCTCCCTGGCCACACACTGGCATTGAGTCCTGTCAGCCAGAAGCTTGAAATCCTTCTCCTGGCTGTGTCCTGACCTAAGTCTGCCCCTCCCCTTCCAGAACAACTAGTCCTTCATACTTGGTTGAATTTAGCATTTATAGATCCCAGTCTGACTTAGGATGGAATTGAGGAGAGAACCAGAGAGTTATGATACCGAATTTTTAAAGCACATGTTGACAGTAATTTATAAAGTGGTGCCCACAGATAAGATTTCACAGGCTCTGCAAAATTGTAGGGGAAATGATTGAGGACAAGAAGGATCTTTTGGCATTTCTTCTATTCAGACCACATAAGTGGGTATTGATTTCACCCAACTATTTAACTTCTCAGATAGCTATCCAAGAGGTAGAAGAAGTCAGTAATATCAAAGCTCAAATACCTGTTGTACTTTGGTAAGCTGAGTTAAACAGTTAAGCATTATTTGTACTTAGAAATGGACCAGGAATGAAGCAACGCTCCACTTTTTAATATGTGGTCACTGTTGTAAAAACTTAGAGCCTTTCCAACAATAGAAAACTATTTAGACCACAAGCATATTTAAACAAATGGTTATGAACACATTTTCCAAAATGAATATATATAAACAAAATCTTTGATTAACCTGAAATAAAATTCCAAAACTAGTACTGTATTAGTCTTTCACAATTATTAAGAATCCAAAACTAATAGTGTATCAGTCTTTCACAATTATTAAGAACTGTTCTATAATTCTGAAACAGAGCCCTATTCTTACAGCAGAGCATTGTTATTATTTTTTTATAATAATACATTTCAAGTCAAGTTAATATGAAAAATCTTTACCCAGTAGCCAACATGAAGTAGCATATAAAAATGTCATTTATAACCAGTCATTACTGTTTATAATCAATTACTTGTTAACTTGGAGTAGACACCCAGGGTGTTTGCTGAGCTTTTTATAATTCAGTACACGTTTAAAAGTCACTAACGAATGGTTCCTTCTGTTTCAGATCTTTGGCATGATATTCAGCATGGTGCTCTGCTGTGCGATACGAAACTCGCGGGATGTGATATGAAGCTGTATACTTCTCCATGAAAATCGCAGTCTAGGGCTTTCATACCAAATGTCACAGGAGCTGTCCCTCAGCTCATTTTTGATATTCAAATGACATTAGGATCTAAAATAATTTGCTGTCAATTGTACATTTGCACATGTATGTATGTTTGACTCATTACTGGTTTGCCCCTGGAGTGACTGCCTGTGTATGTTGACTGAGAGCATATTGATGTGTGATCTGTGTTTCTGGTATATGCATTGTACATAATGAAATCTGTTAGCTGGGAATTCCTGATTCTTGTTATGTAAGAAGAACAACCCATTTAACTCCCAGAAAAAGATCAAGAAATTTTGAGAAACTTTTAAAACTTAGCTATTCATAAAAAGTGATAATGGGTCAGTTTCTCAGACTCTAGTCATTGAAAATTAGATACAGGGAATTCAGGGATTTCTGGTTAATGGAAGCAATAAGCTGCAGGAATGGAGAGATCACAGTGGAATGTTAAAATTGACTGCGTCTGAGTTGGGTGTAAGGGTTTCCTGGGATTTTTTTATATACATGATCTCCCCCGAATACAGTAAACCACAGTTTTAGAACTAAACACATCTGTAAAACTAAATATAGCATGGAAAATCTAATTTGAATAAGTCATGTTTTCCTAGTATTTAAAAACAAAACAAAACAAAACCTTCCTCTGGAAAGAGAAGTCACACAGACAATCATGTGCCCTATAAAAGTGAGGGTTTATAGGACAAAAAAACTTTTAACAACTTTTTAAGGAAATATTCTTTCTTATACAAAGACATGTAAATATTGCTTTATTACTTCCTTTTCTGACTCTGAACTACTGCAACCCTCCCATGCCCAAAACAGCTTTTATCTCAGACTCTTCTGTGTTCCTCCCAATGTAAGGACAGAAAGACTGAAGCAAGAGATCTGGCGGTTTCAAATTGTGAGAAAGAGAATTTTTACTGGCATTGTATCTTTGAAATACCTCATAATTTGAGTTTACATATTTTCCTAATTTTCTGTATTTTCTTATTTATTCACCTAGAGAATTCTTCAGAGATTAAGTACTACAGTTTTTACCACTTAACATAAGTAAAACAAAGTCCTTCATAATTCAGTATTATCTTATGAGCATCCTTGGCCAAACCAAAATAAACAAAGAAAAGCATCTTCTCCCAGTTGTGTGCACACAACAGAGACAAGTTCAGGAAAGAGATGTATTTATATATATATATACACAACACAAAAAAATAAGTTCTTTCTGTGCAAGTCCACTATGAAAATAAAATTTTCAGGGCTTTTTTGGGGGGAGAGAGGGGTCTTAATGCTTGATTTTAAATATGTAAACCCAAATTTAGGATCTAAATTGGCATATTTGTCAGTAATTTTTAACTAGCAACTTGTTACTTTTAATGAATCATAGATCCTTAAAAAATATATTTTAAAAGGCCACACAAAAGTTGGGGGACTTTGGAAAACCCCAAGTGAACTTCTATACACATGAGAACATGAGTGTTGGGATGTGCACTAAAGCAAAGTATTAATATTATGCTCCCAAGAAACTTTTAAAAGACATTTTGTTGATATAACTGCTTGAAATAGTCTCACTCCTGTGTAGAACCACGTTTCTCTTTCTGCCATAGTTACTACTGCTACCAACAATGGAGGAAACTTTTCTAGGAAAAAAGATTAGAGGCAAGCTAAAAACTTAATTGTGCATGGCTAGTTTACTATGTCTATAGCTAAAGAAAAGATTATTTTAAGAAAACCACTTCATGAAATAAATACTTGTACCCCAGTAGTTGAGAAATGTCACTTTTTAAGCAAAGAACATACAGTCCAGCTCCCTTAGAAGCTTTAGTTCATCTGTCTTCCTGCAGACAGGAAAAAGGCCCAAGTACATACTCAGGTTCCTTCCAGCACAGAAACAGCTCTGCTTCCACAAAAATGTTTCATTCCCTATATGAATTTACAGATTTTTAAAAAACTATAACAGTTAAAAGTGGAAGAATAAATACAAATTTATTTTTAATTTTTTTTACATTTTTGAATCAAAAAAAAGGGAAGAGAAGGGATCTGTTCTACATATGATTAATATGCCCCTTTTGGAGGTAAGCTTTCCAAAATATGTGCATGAGCAAGATTAGAAAATTCCACCACTGGAATTTTATATATATATATTTATGTATATATATGTATGTGTATGTATATACACACAGATATATAAATATAGACAAAAGATATATATCTATCTGTGTGTGAATAGAGTATGTCTATATGTAGATATATAATCCCTATATATCTTGAATCTATATATCTTGAATCTATGCCTTTTGATTATGTATACATATATAAAAGAAATATATGTATACATGTATGTGTGTGTTACGTATATATGTGTGTGTATATACATGCACACATGTATACATAAATTTTTGGTTATTTCTGTTTACCCGAACTAATCTGAGATTAGACTCAAACATTCTTTTAAGCCTCTCTTGCCAAAGCACCAAATTAAAATTCTTAATGATGAAATATTTTAACTTATTTCAAATTAAATTTTCTATGTACTAAAATTGCTTATTTGATTTCTCTTAAAGTCCTTATTATATCTTTCTACACACCTTCCCCCAACTTATCTAAATGTCCAACTACCAATCAAATCAAATAATATAGTAAAAAAATGAAACAGAGTGGTAACCCTTCTATAATGTGATAATTAGTAGTTGGACTTAAAATCAATACCCTAAGGACTCTTATTACATATACTGTTGTCCCTTGGTATTTGTGGGGGATTGGTTACAAGACCCCCCACAGATACCAAAATCTACAGATGTTCAAGTTCCTCATATAAAATAGTATAGCTGGATATGGTGACTCATCCCTGTAATCCTAGCACATTGGGAGGCTGATGCAGAAGGATCACTTGTTTACTTGAGGTACAGGAGCTTTTTAGCTTGATGTAATCCCATTTGTTAATTTTTGCTTTGCTTGCTTGTGTTTTTGAAGTCTTACTCAAGAACTCTTTGCCCAAACCATTGTCCTAAAGCATTTCCCCAAGGTTTTCTTCTAGTAGTTTCATAGTTTCATATCTTACATTTAAGTATTTAATCCATTTTGATTGAATTTTGTATATGGTGAGAAATAAGGGTCTAGTTTCATTCTTCTGAATATGGATATCCAGTTTTCCCAGCACCATTTATTGAAGAAACTGGCCTTTCTTCAACGTATGTTCTTGACAACTATGTCAAAAATGAGTTAGCTATAAATGGATTTATATGTGAGTTCTATATTCTGTTCCATTGGTCTCTGTGTTTGTTTTTATGCCAGCACCATGCTGTTTTGGTTACTACAGCTTTGTGATATATTTTTAAGTCTATTAATGTGATGCCTCCAGCTTTATTTTTGTTTTTTGGTTTCTTACCCAGAATTGCTTTGGCTATTTGGGGTCCTTTTTAGTTTCATATGAATTTTAGGATTGTGTTTTATATTTCTGTTGAGAATGTCATGGTATTTTAATAGGGATTACATTGAACCTGTAGATCACTTTGAGTAATATGGTCATTTTAACAATATTAATTCTTCCAATCCATGAACATGGGATATCTTTCCCTTTATGTCCTTTTCAATTACTTTCATCAGTATTTAAATAGTTTTCCTTCTAGAAAGCTTTCACTTCTTCAGTTAAATTTATTCCAAGGTATTTCATTTATTAATATTTATAGTTATTGTAAATGGGATTGCTTTCTTAATTTCTTTTTCAGATTGATCACTATTAACATATAGAAATGCTACTGATTTTGATCTGTTGATTTTGTATTCTGCAACTTTACTGAGTTCATTTATCAATTCTGTGAGTTTTTTGGTGGAGTCTTTAGGTTTCTCTAAACATAAGATCATATTGTCTGCAAGCAAGGATTATTAGACTTCTTCTTTTCCTATTTGAATATTTTTTATTTCTTTCTCATGCTGAATTGTTCTGGCAAGGACTTCTAGTACTATGGTGAATAGAAGTGGTGCAAGTGGGCATACTTGTTTTGTTCCAGATCTTAGAGGAAAGGATTTCAATTTTTCTGCATTCAGTATACTAGCTGTGGGTTTGTAATATATGGCCTTTATTGTTTTGATAAAACAATGTTTTATGTATGTTCCTTCTATACCCAATTTGTTGAGAGTTTTTATCATGAATAGATATTGAATTTTATCACGTGCCTTTTCAGCATCCATTGATATGATCATATAGTTTTCATCCTTGGTTCTATTAATGTGCTGTATCATGCTTATTGGTTTGCATAAGTTGAACCATCCTTCCATCTCTGGGATAAATGCCACTTGATCATGGTGAATGATCTTTTTAATGTGTCATTGAATTTGGTGTGCTAGTACTTTATTGAGGATTTTTACATGTATGTTCTTCAGGGATATTGGCCTGTAGTTTTCTTTTTTTGTTGTTACTTTGTCTGGTTTTGGTATCAGGGTTGTGCTGGCCTCAGAATGAATTTGGAAGTATTTCCTCCTCTTCTATTTTTTGGAATAGTTTGAGTAGAATCAGTATATTTCATTAAATGTTTGGCAATTCAGCAGTGAAGCCATCAGTTTCTGGGCTTTTCTTCTATGGGAGATGTTTTATTGCTGTTTCTATGTCAGTATTCACTGATGTTCAGGTTTTCCATTTCTTCATGGTTCAGTCTTGGTAGGTTGTATATGTCTAGGAATTTATCCATTTGTTCTAGGTTTTCCAATTTGTTAGCATATAGTTGTTCATAATAGTCTGTAGGGATCTTTTGTATTTCTGTGACGTCAGTTGTCAAGTCTCCTTTTTTGTCTCTGATTTTATTTTGGATTTTCTTTCCTTTTTTGTTAGAAAGTTTTGTGAATTTTGTTATCTTTTCAAAAGGCCAACTTTTCTTTTTATTGATGTTTTATATTTTTCAGTCTCAACTTCATTTATTTCTGCTCTGATCTTTATTATTTATTTTCTTCTACTAATTTTGTGTTTGGTTTTTTCTTGCTTTTCTAGTTCTTTGAAGTACATTATCGTGTTGTTTATTTGAAGTCTTTCTACTTTTTTGAGTGTTTCCTCTTATTACTGCTTTTACTGTGTCCTACAGGTTTTGGTATGTTGGGTTTCCATTTTCATTTGTTTCAAGAAATGTTTTAATTTTCTTCTAAGTTTCTTCATTGACATTGGTTATTCAGGAGCATGTTGTTTAATTTCCATTTATTTGTACAGTTTCCAAAGTTCCTCTTGTTATTGATTTCTAGTTTTATTCCATGGTAGTCTGAGAAGAAACAATATGATTTCAATTTTTTTGAATTTTTTGAGTTTTGTTTTGTGGACTTACAGATGGTCTATCTTGGAAAATGTTTCATGTGCTGATAAAAAGAATATGTACTCTTGCAGTAGTAGGGTAAAATGTTCTCTCTGTTAGGTCCACTTGGTCTTGAGTGTAGTTTAATTCCAATATTTTTGTGATAATCTGCTGATTTTTCCATCTGAATAATTTTTCAGTTGCTGAAAGTGGGGTATTGAAGTCCCCTACCATTATTGCATTGCAGTCTCTCTCTCCCTTTAGATCTATTAGTATTTACTTTATATATTTGGGTGCTCTGATATTGTGTGCAAATATATTTACAATTGTTATATTTTCTTGCTAAATGATCTCTTTATCATTATATAATGACCTTCTTTGTCTCCTTTTTTTTGACTTAAAGTCTATTTTATCTGATGTAAATATAGCTACTTGCACTTTTTGGTTTACATTTTCATGAACTTACCTTTTTCCATCCTTTCACTTTCAGTCTGTGTTAACTTTATATGACTTTATAGGTTAAATGATTTTCTTGTAGGCAGCATATAGAGTTATGTCTGGGTCTTGTTTTTTATTTATTCAGTTACTGTTTTTGTTTTTGTTTTTGTTTTTGAGACAGAGTTTCACTCTGTCATCTAGGCTGGAGTGCAGTAGTGCAATAATAGCTCACCGTAACCTCAAACTCTTGGTCTCAGGTGATCCTTCTGCCTCCCAACTAGCTAGAACTATAGACACATGCCACTGTACCTAGCAAATTTTTAAATTTTTTGTAGAAACAGGTGCAAGTGATCTTCCTACCTTGGCATCACAAAGTGCTGGGATTATAGAGTAAGACCACTCTACAACTTTTAATTTGAGCATTTAATCTGTTATTTTGATAGGAAAGAACTTACTATTGCCATTTTGATATTCATTTTCTGTTTTGTTTTGTTTTAAGTCTTCTCTTCCTTTCTTTCTAACTTTCTTTGTGGGTAAGTGATTTTCTCTAG